CAACGGTTCTGTAAACTCTAAAACATACTACAAAAATAAGGTATACTTTTCGAAATTCGGTAGCATGTATCATGTTCGAGAAAAATGAAGTTGCATTTTTTTATTCACATAAAGCGGCACAAGTACATTAACAAAATATTAAATTAGAAGAGGACTTTACCAATGAATGAGCTGAAAGCATTTAGCTACAAATGGTATTTGCATTTAAGACTATAATTTTAATTTCTTACGTATTACATCAAACATCAATAATTATTTTGCTAACATTGCCAATAATATAATATCAAAATTGCCACCTTCAACAACTCATTATAGAAGTTATATCGATGACGTCAGCCACAACAATAAATTTTCTTCCACCCTTGTTTCATATCACGAGGTAGGTGAAGTCATAACACATCTTAAGGACATAAAAAGTTACGATCCTCACGATATTTCAGTAGAAATATTGAAGAGTATTAAAGACACTATAATATTTCCTCTTACTCAGTTATTTAATTTATGTCTGTCCCAGAATATTTTCCCTAGTTGTCTCGAAATCTCTAAAGTTATACCTATCTTTAAAAAAAATGATACCAACGATCCATCAAATTACAGACCTATAGCGATCATCCCTTGTTTTGCAAAAATTTACGAAATAATATTGAAAAACCAACTTCTTGTATATCTAGAAAATAGTAATCTCTTCAGTCCCAATCAGTTCGGTTTCAGAAGTAATATGTCAACTACACTTGCAATAGACAAGTTGACTTCATTTATAAACAGTGGGTTTGATGAGGGTAAGTATGTGTGTTCGATGTTTGTTGACCTCACCAAAGCCTTCAATTGCATCTGTCATAATATACTTATTGACAAATTGCATTTTTACGGCTGTACTCGCGAAAGCATATCACTTATTCAGTCGTATCTTGATCATAGACAACAATACGTAGTTCATAACAACTACAAATCAAAAACATTAAATTTGAATTACGGAGTACCTCAAGGTTCTGTTATGGGACCACTACTATTCCTACTGTATATAAATGATTTCCCAAAATCTGTGAGAAACGACGTGTTCGCGATTCTTTTCGCTGATGATACTAACTTATCCATAGCCAATAATGTTTTGGATGATCTGACGGTGGACATTCCAATAATCGAGAATGACGCATTACATTGGTTTACTTCAAATAACTTATGTCTAAACGCATCTAAGACCGAAAAATTGATGTTCAGCTTGCGTGAAATAGACGATGTAAACAATCCTGATGCAGTAAAATTTCTGGGAATATATTTGGATCCGAAATTGCAATGGGACAGGCACGCCCACTACCTCTGCAATAAGATCTCCAAGGGTATTTATTTAATCCGCAACTTGATTAGCAAAGTATCTCAAAAAACGTTAATTACTGCTTATCATAGCCTTATTCACTCCCAAATATCCTATGCAATCCTGATTTGGGGTCATTCACCTTCAGCTGATACCGTTTTTGCTACTCAAAGAAAAGCCATTCGCATAATCTCGGGTTTAAAATTCAGAGATGACTGCAGAGCACAGTTTAAGAAACTTGGTATTTTAACATTACCATGTACTTACATACTCCAGTGCCTTTTGTACGTAAAAGAAAATGAAGAGTCGTTTACTGTCCGTAGCCAAATCCACCTTCATAATACTAGAAACAAAAATGACATAAACTTAAACTTTCATCGCTTAAGTAAAACACGTAATGGCACATCATATCTGGGCATCCAGTTTTTTAATGCATTACCAGTTCCAGTACGTCATCTCAACCCTACTTTATTTAAAAGAAAAATAAAACACTTTCTATTAACCAACGCATTTTATACTACGCAAGAATTTTTAAAAAGTGATCTCACCCTAATATGACTATCTTAGACGTAGCTTCGCACACTTCAGTTGCATTGTTTCAGTTTTTTTTTTTTTACTACATTACTCATAATCTTATTTTAACATGTACCATTTACTGTTTGTTTGTTTTGTTGTCCTCTTACAAACATTTTATTTTAACATTTGACAACCATTTATTGCTTGTACTTGTATTGTTTTATTACCATTTTCTTTGTTTTTTAAATTATGAACTAGTTACGTGTCAACACTGTTATACGCGTGTGTACTGTGCTGTATATGTATTTTACTATTATTTTTTTTTCATAATGATTTTATATTACTACTATAATTATTTTTTTTGACGTGTGTAAACACTTGTTGTGTACTAACACTAATAAATCTATCTATCTATCTATCTATCTATCTATCTATCTATCTATCTATCTATCTATCTATCTATCTATCTATCTATCTATCTATCTATCTATCTATCTATCTATCTATCTATCTATCTATCTATCTATCTATCTATCTATCTATCTATCTATCTATCTATCTATCTATCTATCTATCTATCTATCTATCTATCTATCTATCTATCTATCTATCTATCTATCTATCTATCTATCTATCTATCTATCTATCTATCTATCTATCTATCTATCTATCTATCTATCTATCTATCTATCTATCTATCTATCTATCTATCTATCTATCTATCTATCTATCTATCTATCTATCTATCTATCTATCTATCTATCTATCTATCTATCTATCTATCTATCTATCTATCTATCTATCTATCTATCTATCTATCTATCTATCTATCTATCTATCTATCTATCTATCTATCTATCTATCTATCTATCTATCTATCTATCTATCTATCTATCTATCTATCTATCTATCTATCTATCTATCTATCTATCTATCTATCTATCTATCTATCTATCTATCTATCTATCTATCTATCTATCTATCTATCTATCTATCTATCTATCTATCTATCTATCTATCTATCTATCTATCTATCTATCTATCTATCTATCTATCTATCTATCTATCTATCTATCTATCTATCTATCTATCTATCTATCTATCTATCTATCTATCTATCTATCTATCTATCTATCTATCTATCTATCTATCTATCTATCTATCTATCTATCTATCTATCTATCTATCTATCTATCTATCTATCTATCTATCTATCTATCTATCTATCTATCTATCTATCTATCTATCTATCTATCTATCTATCTATCTATCTATCTATCTATCTATCTATCTATCTATCTATCTATCTATCTATCTATCTATCTATCTATCTATCTATCTATCTATCTATCTATCTATCTATCTATCTATCTATCTATCTATCTATCTATCTATCTATCTATCTATCTATCTATCTATCTATCTATCTATCACAGTTAAATTGTAAAACATTTTATTAACTAAAAAAAAATTAAATTTATTTCAAGTTTCAGCTTGTTGAAAATTATCACGGTAATTAATCCATTAATAAACTAATTTTAGATTTTGTAAACTACTACACTACCATTACTAAAATAAACAATTGTTGAATGGCCTGAATTGTTGATGGATATGAATTCTTAAAAAAATTGATAAGAATAGAAAAATATTAGGAAACAGACTCGGAGACATACAGAACAAAACAGCTGCACAATTAAATAAAGTTATTATATTATTTTTTATATTTCCGTTTTTTTTTCAGTGTTAGATTTTTGTTTGGGCAAGTGCATTGCGATGCAATGACTAATAATAACTACCAATTAAGATCGCATGTTTTAATAATAGGCAACGACACTCTCATCAATCAAATATGCATTACTGGAAGTATATAGACTATGTAAAATAATAATTGCATACGTGCAATTTAATTAATACAAATTATACCTACTTATGAATCTAGGTAAACGATCAAAACGATAACACCATAGTTCAACGTACGATTATTAAAATAGGACGTTGATTTGTACTTACACTAGTATTACCAATTTGGTGTATCGGAAGATTGATTCGTATTTGATAAAAAAAAATAATCTTTACAACCTAATTAAAATAAAAATTATTTATTTATGTATTTGGGGTAATTCCTGAAACTATAAGTTTTATGACATAAAGTGCAGGAACTTGTAGTTAGAAATTTTAAACTATTACAATTATACATAGTGTTTTCTAAATTCATGCCATACCTTTAAAGGGTTGCTGGATAGTGTATCATTTTAGATTAAAAGCCCTTAACGTACTCATGATCTAAATCCATTCGAGATACAGATAAAAATTGGGCTCCTAAACATTTTCACTGAAGTTTCTAATAGTGTTTTGGGAGCATTCGTAAAAGGTGTTTATTTTAAAGCTTTGTATAGTTCTGACGTTAAAAACTAAATAAACGACTGTAATATAATATTAATAAAATGTTTATAATAAATTTTTCGGTTGATGCCTAGTTATTATTATATATTATTTCATCAAGAAGGTGTTACTAAAGAATTTCGCATAGCGTTTTGGGAACATTAGTAAAAAAATGTATAACAGAGCAATTTCGTTTAGTTCTGATGTTTAAAATTCATAAATATCATTCTTACTTCTGCATATTTTCAAGTTTATGATTGGCAATTGGTTAATAATTGTTTCATGAGAATGAAAGATTTTCAGTGGAGTTTCGAATAGCACATCATTTTGGAAACAGAAATAATTTCTACTACAACGCAATTTTGTGTAGTTTTGACGTTAAATACAAAGTAAATCCCTTTCTTAAGTCCACATATTTCCACGTTTAAGATAAACTATGTATCAATTGATTCATAATTATTTTTTCATGACAATTACTTTCTTGCAGATTTTCACTGCAGTTTTAAATAGCATATTGGAAACATCAGTAAAAATTTACTACCTCAAAGCGCCTTCGTATAATTCTTATGCTAGAAACTAAATAATGGCTTTCCTTTTTGAATTTTATTCGACTTTAAAATATTTACGTATGTTTATATTCCACCTAATTTTGTTCCTGTTTACGCTGTTGCAACTCCGGTGCCACGCTGTATACAATAAAAACTTCGCAGGCGCCGCCACCAATCTGCCACTCTACCAGCAGCATGCGGCGTGGTTTACCAAAACATCCAGTTAGTCCTGACAACTGAAAACATCCGAACGCCGAGGTCCTGCGACGCCCTGTAAGTTTACAGTTGCAGCGGGAAAACTGATGAAGCGAAAGCGTTATCAGTAGCGGGACGAACTGAAAGCGCTCCGCAGGTTGACGTTCATTTGTTTCGTTCGGCGCGGCACTCTACTCGTTATGGGTCCGTTTTGTTGTTCGCAGTGAAGAAGGCTGGTTGGTGTTCGAAATAATCCCACGTGTGAGATGGTGTTACGCGATACCATGGAACTGTTGTCGATTTAATTGAACATGTGCGATTTTGTGTAAAACAGATGTAAGTAAATAACCATCTGATTAAATTTTATTAGGCTAGACGGCCTGACGGCCTGAGTAAATAAATTGAGCTCGAGTTTTGGTTACTTTGCTGATGTAAGAAAATTCCTGCTTTCTGATAAATAGCCGCATGAAATTAAATAATAATTAATCCAGTAATTTTTATTACATTATAACTTCACTTTGAAAAAATAATTGTATACATTGAAGTAGATTTGGCTCCTATATTAAAATGTATGTATCTACAACATATTGAGACTGTATAGAATGAAATCGACTTTCTTTCTTACAAAAGTGACCAAAAATATTATTCAGGATCATTTCATTTTCCTCAAATTATCTTTCACAAAGTTCTCGAAATTCTCGATAATACTATCTATTTTTTAAACAAATAGTTATTAAAATTAAACAGCCTTTTCTAATTTCAGTCTTTGATTATATTCTACTTGGAAATGAGGATTAATAAATAACTAAGGATACTTCAAGAATTTCGAAAAGTTTGTGAGAGATAACTTGAAGGAAATGACGCGATTTACAAAAAAGGTCCTTTGACATTTTGCGATAAGTTTGATAGTTTCACGGAAAGAGTAGAAAAATCTTGAAATTTACTGTAAATTCAACATTGACGTAAATAACTTTTTAAAAAGTAGATTTATCATAAAATGAGAGACCTTTTTTATAGAGCGTTCAATTTCCTACAAAAGTATGTTTTGGTCTTATCAGTACACCGTAGTCGATTTTTTTTTATACAGACTAGTCGAATTTTTTCGAAATTTTATTAAACATATGTGATGCTTTTATCGATTTTGCAATAGATGATATAAAATTAAATATATTGTGCTAGATAATTAGTTAAAATACTTTTTAGTAGAATACGACTTTTTTTCGTCGAAAATATTGTTTTGTTCAAAAGGCTAAGAACCTTATACTTTATTTAGCTTTTGTAGAAACAAAGTTTAAAAGTAGTCAGTAAGAAAGGTATTCTTGTTGTCCCAATTTACCCTTTTATAACGAAAGTTAGGCAGTTAGTATACATATTTGTTTTATACCTCCTCAGATATGAGCCCAGGGATATATTAGAAATTCAAAAAGCAAAAGTACATTTCATGGATATTTCTACAAAAAATGTCTCCCACCATTACTATGTCAAATATTTCTGTCTTTAATACGATATTTATCGTGCTGTTTCGATATTTTGTTTCTGATTTTTTTTTCTGTTTATTTATTTTGCCATTAACGAAGAAAACTAAAACATTAAGTAAAATATTTTATTAGAGAAACAATAAAATTTTCTATTTTAACTTTAAAAAGTTTCAGATCAGTACATAACAATTTATTTTGACATTAATTGAAGTTGCTTTAATTATTTTATAGAAATATTTGTCAATTTTTTGGTTATCAAATTCAAAATTATACTTACCATTTTCATAAGCATAACTAAGATAAAACTACTAATGCACTAACTAATGAATATATAGGTAAACTTATTGTAGAATTTTTTTTTTTGAGGAAGGGAATAAATATTTTCCAAACGTCGACTTATGTTCAATAAAAAATATGTTTATACGTTTTCGATGTTTCCATCATTGGAAAACTACAGATCTAATTTAATACCTAGGTATATATGTAGGTATCTTTAACAGAATATTTTATTTAATGTCTTTTTTAGAGAGACAAACACACTCCAGAATGAATGAGGACAGCAACGTTCCGTAAACAAAAATAATTATTTACAAATTCGTTTGAACATACAATCAATATTTATAGACCCGTTTGATCACCTTTACGGCTAAAATTAAATATTACTTCGAATAATTTCAGTCAGCTCACGATTTCAGTTTTCAAAATGATAATATAAATGTTTCCTGTTTGTTACTGAATGCCGTTTGCGCGACTTGTCCTTTAACAATTATTGAGGCAGCAGCTCTCGTAAATTGAAATCATAACCTCCGATATGAACGATAAATTATTTATGGGTACTTGCAAAATTACCATTTAATGCTTCTAGTAAGAAATTCTACAGCATATTTCCATTTGTTACGTATAATATTAGAATTTAAACTTTAATTAGCAGAGCATATATGTTTTATTTTTTGATTTAGACATAGGTACTTTACTCTCCTACGCATTACCATCAAAACTGAAAAACAGATTTGTGCTAGAAATATAACTGCATAAAACTGAACATTTCATTAATAGGATTTTAATATTTGTTTTCAATTTTTCTAACAACTACAAACACGTTTACAGATTGAGATGTTGAAGAAATTAATTTTTCGTTTCTTTTAGAAACAAAAACTTTTAGACGTTTTGTAAATATTTATTATTTTAAATACTCAGTTGCCATCGCAATCGCTAAATATTTTGTCCTAGATATTGTGTAAATATTGATATGTTTTCACTATTCCTACGTATTATACAGGAAATTCTAAAACGAACTGTATGTACCGCAATAGAATTATGGAACAATTTAAATAAAACTAATATTTTTTTTTATACAAATGCCAAGACAGTTCGATTGTATTTTGTTTCTTGCCTTTCTTTGCGTGCATGCGATTTTCTACACAGTGATTCTAAAAATAGATTTTGATACAACCTTATCTCACGAGTACAGTAATATAGATATTGATGGGTACATCTTTATAATAACGGAGATATAACTTCAATAAACAGAAGGCAAGGAAAAACGTAAATTATTTGCTGTTTTTGTCTAGAGACTGATGGATGGCATTTCCAACATTTGGTTTAAATGAATAATATTTTAATTTTGTTTGTTGAATACAATTTAATTTAATCTACAACTGTTATTCGTTTGTTCTTAATGTATTAAACTTTTGTCCTTGCCTTCTATTTATTGAGCACTTTTGGTTATAATCTCTGTTATTATTAAAGATAAACCCATCAATATCTATATTACTGTATTCGTAAGACAACGTTCTATCCAAATCTGCAGAAATATAGAGGGTGTTGTTGTTGTTCTATTAAATTTTTTTTATTTTCATTCAGCTTTTTAGCATCACTATGTAGAAAATCAGATGCACGAAAAAACGGCAAAAAACAAAATAAAATAGACCTGTCTCAGCGTTTTTATAAAAAAAATATATTACAGTTTTATTTAATTTGTTGCATAATTTAAACATACAGGGTGTACTTTTTTTATTGACATTTTGTTCTATCTCTTGACAGAAAGGGTGGGGTAAGCAATGCATTTTTTAAGGATATCTCATAGTGTTATACTTCGATCGAAGGGTTAAGGCGTTTTACAACGGTTACATGAAAAAATCCGTAAAAAGAGACCAGATTTGTGGCAAGAGTTCAAGGAGTTGCCGACAAACGTCCATACGATTTTTTATCTGTTCGGTTATCAAACAAGAAGCAAAATTGCTGCAATTCGATGAATGATCAATTTTTTCTTCAAAATTTCATGGCATGATCCAATTGAGATGCTAACTCTTCTGCAATTTCTCGGACAGTCAATCGGCGATCTGTACGCACCAGATCGTTGACTTTCTGAACATAGAAGCCATCAGTAGAAGTCGAAGGACTTCCTGGTCGTAGATCATCTTCAACTGACTGACGATCACTTTTAAATAGTGAAGACCATTTATAATATTGCGTACCCAGAGCATCATCTCCGTAAGCTTGTTTCAAAAATTGAAATGTTTTCGTGAAAGATTTCATGCAAAATTTTACGTTTTATTTGTCATATTTTCTTCAATTTTTGAATTAACAATAAAATTCTAGAAATACATACATTTTTGCAATAAACTTATCAATTTTTGTTTAATAATGAGAGTAATTGGAACTAATACTTTCGTACTTCCGTTGAACACTAACAACACCACGCTAAAGCGAATATTTTGATTCACTTATCACATCGGAAAATCGGGAACACCCTGTATATTTTAATATTTTTATTATTTTATTTTTTCTGATTAGAATGATCTATACACGTTATATATTTGCTTTAATAGTTTGCACAGTATTTCAGTTATCTGGTGATAACCTGCAAATATAGCCAAGATTGCCATGGAACAACCACTGCGTGGGTATGTTTTCCGCTGTTAAATCTACTAAACAAATCATTCTATTCTTTAATAATAATACTATCATCCTGTTCTAGACAAAGGACGTATATTATATAAACATAAGTTTTTTTTTATTCTAAGAGCTATAATATACTCTCTATATTACTGGCATATGAACTGTATAGATATTAATGGTATATTATGGCTTTTAAAGATTCTGTTTATACCGGGTGTTTCATGAAGTTCTCCCGGCACTAATAGAGGATGTTCCTTGGGTTATTTCTAGGAAATAAGTTCATATAAACATGTGTCCGATTTGCTTTACTTATTGAGCTACACGAATTTGAAAATAAAATAATGGAAATTAATTTTCATTNAAATTGATGTTCAGCTTGCGTGAAATAGACGATGTAAACAATCCTGATGCAGTAAAATTTCTGGGAACATATTTGGATCCGAAATTGCATTGAGACAGGCACGCCCACTACCTCTGCAATAAGATCTCCAAGGGTATCTATTTAATCCGCAACTTGATTAGCAAAGTATCTCAAAAAACGTTAATTACTGCTTATCATAGCCTTATTCACTCCCAAATATCCTATGCAATCCTGATTTGGGGTCATTCACCTTCAGCTGATACCGTTTTTGTTACCAAAGAAAAGCCATTCGCATAATCAGCTTAAGAAATTATAACATTTTAACATTACCATGTACTTACAAACTCCAGTGTCTTTTGTACGTAAAAGAAAATAATAAAGAGTCGTTTACTGTCCTTAGCCAAATCCATTCTCATAATACTAGAAACAAAAATGACATAAACTTAAACTTTCATCGTTTAAGTAAAACACGTAATGGCACATCATAACTGGGCATTCAGTTTTTTAATGCATTACCAGCTCCAGTACGTCATCTCAACCCTACTTTATTTAAAAGAAAAATAAAACACTTTCTATTAACCAACGCATTTTATACT